TCTGCGTACATGCTCATCGTTATCAGTTGCCATAATAGTAAAATCGCTATTATTACTATTATTTTCTACTGCGGCCTTTAAAATAATGCGTGTTGTATTTTATTTTATTATATTTAATTTAAAAATTTTTTATACCTATGACTAGCGGTATTATATTTAAAGTCGCATCCCCACCACGAACCGTGTGTCTTATTCTTAATTGATAATTATATATTAAATATAGTTGAGCAAATATAAAATAAATATAAATATAATATAAAAAGTAAATAAAAAAAAAAATGAATTATGCCATATGAGTACTAAAGATGATTTTTCAAATTATTGCTCTAATATTTTTATCATTAGACATCATATGTCTCGGGCGCATATTTCCATCTGTCGAAGTATTAAAATACTAATCATTTTTGAAGTATTGGTCTAGTATCTACTAGTCATTATTTAAATTACAATATTTCCTATTTTAGAAATAAGTTAAAAATGTATGTTGTCATCTAAAAAAATAAAGTCGGTTGTCTTATAAGGATAAAAGATGAACCTAAAAAGTATTTAACCATTCATAAATTGGGAGATAAATAATACTCAACAAAGCCAAAAAAAATATTTCAAAGATTATTACTTTAGGAGAACTTTAATGGTCAATGATTAATAAATCACTGTTTAAAGTTAATTAAACAACATTAAAAAAAATATTTTAAGTAATATTTCGTACAATTTTTGTGTAAAAGTTTTATAAATTTATTAAGTTTACAGTATTGTAAACAATTATTTATATTTTTTAATTTTAAATTTAATTGAATAATTTGTACTAAAAATTGTCAAATCCGTCGTAATATGCATTTTATAAATGTAATTTATTTACAATACTAATGGGCGATAAATAACGAATAGCAAATAACCTAACAGGATTGGTCTATTAATAATAATTTTAGTTTATGTGACGACAAATTCCAACAACCGTTATCAGTAGACAGAAAAAATATTTTAAAACGGCGTGAAATTCATTGATTATTATAAATTCGATGGACAGACATTTAGGAAAATAAATACTGAAATCAATGGAGCCACAAATAGTAAAAGCGACAAATTCAAATAAAAGATTAGTTCATAAGCAAACTGGCAACATGGTCTTAATAAGCATTATGAACGTTTTTAATGCACTGTTCTTTCAGACTTCTCAAGCAACGTTGCCAGTTTGCTTATGAACTTATTGTTATACCGCCGACATGCAACTGAGTGACTATTGAATAAGACAGGATCCTTCTATTTCACCATTTGCATGACAAATTACGTTCTCTTTTACAGTGTATTAACTGTACTAAACCTTTATGATACTTTGTTCGACCGGTTATTTGTGTTTGTCGCTATTACTAGCTGATTTGATTAATTTCAGTATTTATTTTCTCAAAAACATCTAAATCGAATTATAAATAATCAATGAATTTGTCCCCGATTTGTTGTGTAATTTTCAATTTATTGTTCTAATGTATTAGTAATGGGTTGTGACAATTTTTATCATTAAACATTATTTAACAACTGCACTCTTTTAACCATCAGCTATAAAAACTATAAATTTCCGAAGTACTGGTCTAAAAGTTGTTATGGACCAGTCATTTTCTTATTTAGATTATTTTCTATTTTATAAGCTAATTCATTATATGTTGCCATTTAAAAATAATAAAGCTAAGAAAGAGATATGGGTGAACCTAAAAAATATTTAACTACTACTCAAAAAAGATATTTTCAAGATTATTATAATAATACAATAAATTTAGTGGACAATGATAAAACAATTACTCTGTTAATACTTGTACAATACCTTAAAGCTATTTAAAAATATTTTAGTATAATTTTACACAATTTTTATTTAGAATTTTTATAAATTTATTAAATTTCAAACTTTGTACAAAATAAATAATATTTTAAAAATTTTAATTTAAAAGTTAAACAACATTTATTTGAGTGCATGACCGATTTTAAGTATCTTCTGCAAATTAACGGTGAATAAACGAGGCGTAGATATTTATAGGAAGGGGATGGGATAAAAACAGTCCACTTTCCTATTATTTTTAATTTAATCTGATTCTGTTACGAACAGATTATTCGTCTTTCACCAACATTAACAATTAACAACTATATTAATGCCTGATCAGCACAAATGTGTCCCTACAGCTTAACTATGAGTATGCAGGTGTAAATAATAAACCTATTAAACTCTTCTTGAATTAATTAAAAACATAATGAAGATAGACGTCATTCTACTATGCTGCGGCAACTTACCTTTATTGATTTGATAACTTAACTCGTACAGTATTATTGTTGTTCCTAAATTAAATACTATTATTGTTTTACTTATTATTATTATTATTTCAGGTTGTGTACACTAGCCGCCGTCACTCACTTGACTTGGTGACCATCGACATCTCTAGAGATCCAGTCAAGTTATATTTTAAATAATATTAAATAGAAATAAATACTTGTTATCGTTGTTAATTGAGAGTCTATATTTATTTGGTCACGAAACCGCTAACAGCCCTTTTAGTGGGCTATAAATTATATAGAGCCAAAAATATCCCATTTGGGTACAGCTTAGCCAACTTTTAAGACCCTAGAGGGAAAGCACGTAACAATTCCATATAAAAATATTTTATAATAGATGATTGAACACCCATCATCTTTAATTTTTTTTTATGTTATAATTAACATAATATATACATTTTGTAATTTGTTTTTTAAAGGGAGGGGTGGTTACATCTATGATTTGCGAAGATTATTAAAACTTTAAAGATGTTGAATTCATATTTTTTTGCGATATACGTCTAAGGTTCCCGAGAATGGGTCACGAGGCAAGTTTTATTAAAATCCTTCATCAAATCCATCATGTGTATTAAATACTTTAACAAATTTAAAATTTGTACATATTTATTACAAAATGTTTACAAAGAATAAAATTGACAAAAAAAAATTCATTAAAAAGAATAAAATATGTCATATTAGAATTAGAATAAAGTCAATATATTAGGATAATAATTTACAATTGTTGTTATTTTTGGAATCAGTGCCAGCCCAGGTTCACAAACGTTTATCAATGAAACAGCTTAGTACGAATGGGTTTACACTTAATATTATGGAATACATTTAATATTATAATCGACAACAAGCAGCAGCTAGTACAAAACATATCAATGAAGAGCGCAGCAATTTATTTTATTGGTGGCAAAGAATAGTAGTAGAGTAGTAATTTCTGCACTGTTATTTCCCAATAGTAATAAATAGCTGCTAATCAAAACGATCAATAACAGTGACTGCTAGTTTTATTTGTCAACATTATTTAACTTTTCTGACCACATTGTTAACTTCCACATATTACTAAGTCATATTTAACGTTTTGTTTAATTAAATTGACTTTTAGAACGATTATTATTATTTATTAACAACGTCAAACAATAACTATATGTTCGTGATGCTGACACAAATACTATTATACATTTTTAAATATTTTCCTAGAATACTCGGTAACTCCCAGAAGTCGAATTTTCGAATAGTTTTTCTTTTATCGTCTTAAAGTACATTATATTAACTTTAATTTAATGTACGTTTAAAGAAGACAGGTTTTTTGAAACATAATCATAAATTGAAAAGAACAAACTTTGTTTTGATGATTTTATCCCTTCCTAGTACTTTGGTCAATGATAGGATTTTCAAAAACGTATGTTAAAATTTAGAAAAGCATTTTATATAACTGGATTTTTTTTTGGATTCATGTATCATTCAAATAAATAATCTTTTAGCGTATAGTTGAGCATAATTCGTTCAATAAGAGCACAGTAATTGCGTACACGGACACACAAAAAAATTAATAATAACAGAGTATAACTAATAGCCTCTTAACTACTACACATCGAATCTAATAGTTATAAAAATTAGCAGTTTCATGGTTCTTTTTAAAAATATCAATAGCTGCTGTTTTTCACTTCTACTTCAAAAAAACAATAGCATAAGAAGATGCCTCTTAAATAAATAATATTTTATCACCACTTATTTTTTTTATAAATAAATTCGACAATTTTGATAGCAACAGTCAACGACGTCTGCCCTCACGTTAATGAGCGTTCAAGTCGCTACTCAATTATGTTACCCTTCCGCCATCTCTCCATATGCCCGTCACTGTGTGCTGTGGTGTTTAACATCAAGCGTTTGCTGTCTTGTTGATTATGAAACATGTTTATTTACCTTAACTGGTACCGATTCCAATAATATCAAAAATGTATATTATTATTCGTATAAATTAATTTTATTCTAATTCTAGAGTGATTTATTTTATACATTATAGTGAATTTTTTCATAGTAAATTTTTTGGTCGGTATTTTTTCTTTGTACAAACTTTTTATTTTTAATTTTCGGTGCATATTTTTAGTTATTAAGTATTATTTGATAATAAAGCTGGAAGACAGATAGTTCATTTAGGTCTATTTTAGTGACCGTAAATACCACTGGTCACAGTAAAGCAATTTAATACACAATTTCGTTTACTTGGATGACATATTTTTTCAATTATTTTGATTTAAATACCATTGAACTGAATTTGATAAATTTTCTATGGGACTATTTTAAAAGCATGTCCTTTTAAATAAAAAAGAATTTTCGACATCGGTTTATAAATGGCGGAGTAGTGAGTTTAATAAGTAACCCAGTATTTTTTTTATAAGTACTCGAACAGATCAAAGTTTAAAATAAAACCGTTCGGATTTATTAATTTTCAAGAGAGCACTCAGTAACCTGGCTTTCAGTTTATGTACTGTTCATACGATCAATTTGTACCTACTACTTGATTTTATTTTAAGTATAATAGAATCATTATAATGGTAATAATAGTTTTGATATACACTTATAATTTCATGTAACAATCTAACATTTAATTGTGAAAGTTTAGGATAAAAGTGGCCGTCCCCAAGTAGTTGGGATTAAGTCGAGGAAAATAAGAAGAATTTAATTTTTAATTAGTAAATTAATAAAATAATAACATTTTAAATAATACAATGATCTATGATGACTTTATTCAGACTAGTGCGAATTCATTTGGCGAGCAGAAGACGGAATAATTAGACATGCCGCTAATCACTGACAAGCAATTCTAATGCGCGCCTTTTTAATTGTGATATAATTTAGTTGTGATTTGTGTGCTATTCCCGCAAATTGTTAACAAATATATCATTTCTATAAATGCTCCTTTTGGGACGTTACTATTTTCTTATCAACAAGAGAACTAACACATTTCTGCCTTTCTTGTCTCTTTCCTGTTAATAATTTGTTTCGCGTTTAACTCAAAAGTAAGTAATTTAATTATTATTTTTAAAGTATAATAGCATATTGAATTTTTCAGTAATTTTAGAATTAGCTTATATAAATATAAAATAAATTTCAGTGAAATATGCTGTATGTTAAAATTATTTAATGGACGTAAAAGAGACAACAGAATAATTTATTTTAATTTCAAACAAAATACCTATTATAATTTTTTTTACTAAATATTCACAATAATCGTAACATTCTTTAATTTAATATTATACTTTTATAATGTTATTGAACAATATTTACAATAAAGAAATGCTTTATTGGATTTGAAAGTTTGATGAAGAATAATTAGGTGGTCTTAAAAATAAATGTACCGTAAAGTGAGTCATGAATAATACATATGTTGTATATTCAAATAATTTCTTAAGAAACTTAGGATTATGATCATGATTATGCTACTTAATAAATTAAAAAAATTCACATTATATTTCTAATAAAGAAGAATGGAATGAGTATGAATGGAAATAAAACTAAGTTTTTATATTTTGAACAAATGAAATAAAAAATATAAGGATTTTTAGCAACAGTAACAGCTTTAAAAATTTAATAAAATTCACGTGATACATGTGTTTCATGATAACCTTTGAACTTTAAATTATGGTTTTTTTTAAATATTACATATTAAATATTGAATCATTGTAATCATAATCATATTTATAGTGTATGGTAATTTTATTTAATAGCTAATAACTAATATTTATTATTTATAAAATAAATCTTTGATTTTACTCATTCATCTATATGACTAGATAATTTGCAGAAAAAATATCTTTTATCACAGAATAGTTATGTGCCTAATTTAAAGTTTGAATTCAAATTTTTCACTAGAACAAGGTTATTTAAAAAAATATATATACAATGCATTGTATATATATTGTATACATAATATTAATAATAATAGTCATGACTATTATGTGTTTTTACTAAGAAGCATACTCACTGATGGTAGTTCATTATACATTATTATAATAGCTATAATAGTGTAAAAATTAAAAAATAATTTCAAAAAAGAATACTTTTTTGGTCTCCAATTTTAAAATTATTATTATTATTATTGTTATTTATTATATTATATATAATATAAATAAAATTAAGAAAAAAATTTAATTTCATTATAATCTTTGAAAGTTTTGATATCAGAATTTTTACTTAGTTTATGTTAGGTCTAACATAAAATTTCCTATAGTACTACATTTCTGTGAAGTTAAATAGTTTAGTTTAATTATATTTTTAAACTTGTTGCTTTAAATATTTTCTTTTATAACTTAGAGTTTATATTATTGAAATTATTATTATAATTATTATTGGATTTTATAAATTTTAAAAAATAAATTCCAATAGGTCACACTAAATTAAAAATTTAAATATTAATTAAAACGTTTAAAGTTATTATTTAACTGTATTCAGAACTAATATCCAAATATATTAAAAACAACTGATTATATTGGAGCGGAGAAAAATTTCAAAGATATGTAATGACTGAAAAACAGTAGTGTTAGTGCTTCAAAACAACTTGAAGAAAAACAGATAAATCTGCCAGTTCTGGAGGATTTTTTGATGAAAAAAAGGTTTACTAATCAAAGTAAGAATATGCATAGTAATTTAAATTTATCAAGTTGGGGCCTAATCAAAATTACTTACATAATACATGAATTTATGTGTCGGTGTACTCACATATTTAATGTTTTGGCACTCTAGGTGAAATAATTCCAAAACTGACATTTTATAATATATAAAATTAATAAATTATTTGTCCATTTTATTAGCTTAAATCAAAAAACTTTTATCATATGTTTTTGTAAAAACTATTATTTTTTATTATCAATATAATATAATTTTGATTTCAGATACCCTGGATCAACTACTGCAACAATTAATTAAAGTGTTAATTTACCATTTAGAATAATTGTAAATCTTGTTTTAAAGGATATAATTGAATGAGGTTTCCCCAACAGAAAACTTATGTCTCGGCCTACTTTAATGAAAAGTATTGAGAAAGACTTTCATAAATTATCCTTCAAAATGAAATCTGAAATGTTTAAATGTTATCATATTGTTGCGACTACAGATTTTTAAAAAGTAATTAATAGGTTTTTTTTTATTTGTATAGGTACCTAATGAACAGATTTTATAGGTAGTATATTTATATATTTTATAGGTAATAAATTTTTTTAGATTGTACATTGGAATAACAGTCACATGGATCAATGAGGATTTATTACTAACACTAAGAAGACTAGAAGAGTCACATACATGTAATAACTTAGCTAAAGCAATAGATGAAGTATACACACAGTTTACATTTCAGATAAATTATGTTATTGTACTACATATAACATTTTAATTTCCTAAAATGTTTTGAGTAAGATCTATTCAAATTAATAACTATAAAATTATTTATGTTGGTATTGCTCATATTTTTAATTAATATAACATACATCTGAAATTAATATTTTTTTCATTTATATTAATGGAAAATCATGAATTAAAATTAATTTCTCATTTAAGTAGTTTGAATTTAACCCTTATAATATTTTTTAGAACATTGGTCATGTACTTGATGATGAAAAAACTGAAATTTCTAATCAGTTGCTTGTGTACAATTTAGTAGAAGATGATGAAATAGAATAAATTGATGTCATCAATTTTAGCATTCTAAATAATAAAGATTAAATTCTCAGTATTTGTTATCCAAATAACTCAAAAATGTAAATGTTACCCAAAATCACCGATGTTGTAAACACACAATTTGATAACAACAGTGGTAAATAAAAATTAATATAAGAATATAACCATCCATTGTATATTTAAAAAGTAACATTTTAGATTAAATATTTGATTTGTTTAATTAACAATTTCTGTATAGGACTCTTATAAAGCTTTGTCTAATGTTACTTTAAAAAAAACAGTCCAGAATCACTTTTGCCAAGAAAACTGCTTTGCAGAACAAACAAGGGCGCTCGACCAAGTTAGCTAATTTAATCAAACAAAATATTTGCGTTTAATTAATAACTTCCAACGAGACATGTTGGAATTTATTGTATGATGCAGTGGTGTTGCTTAGTAAATTAATTAAAAATAATGAACTTA